TTGTAACCCCTCATCATAATCTTGAGTTACTCTAAGGGTTTGGTTTCTCTCAAGTTGTCATCTTAACTTGAGAGAGCATTTGGGATTGGTAGGCCTATTTTGGAACCGATTCAGATGATCCAAATAGTTCACTTTTTGGATTCATTAAGTAGAATATTCATGCAAAAAATTAAAATGATTGGACATCAGTAACTACATGTTTGAATCATATTTTGTTTTAAAAAAATGAAAGACAAATATAATTTCAAGAATAACCATCTATTTTTTATAATATAAATTTGATTCAAACATATAATTATCAAATCAAGAATCAAACATTTTTTGCATGAATATTCTACTCAACGAATCTTAAAAAATGAACGGTTTAGGTCATCAAAATAAGACAGGTTGTGGGCTCTATGACCCCCTCAAGTTCTCTCATGTTAAGATGTGAGCAAAAGAGAAGTCTAACCTTATCTAATCTAATCTATCCAAATAAACATGACCTAAAGGTCAAGAATATTAATTGAAGGTTAAATTTCACTTTATTCCTTTATGATTTGCATCTTATGCAAATTATTCCATACTATTCAATAATAATCATATCACCCCTTGTAGTTCGTGAATGGAAATGCACCCTTAGACAATCTATCCATGTTAATAGCAGATATGAAACATGTATCAAAACATAAAAAGTTATATGATTATTTTTAAATGCCATGAGGTTAAGTAAATCTCACATGGGATAATGCACGAAAAGGTTAAAAGGAATTTCTTCTTCCCAAACAGAAAATTACAAAAATGTTAATGATTTGCACAATGAGGTTACTCATATATGCATTTTAGTCTTTTCACTCAAGCAATTAATGAATCTAACGATATATTTTAGTTTACAAACTAAAGAAGAGCAATGCATTTATTTTGAAATGATTAGAAGTTTGTACTTAAATCATAGAAAAGTAAAGGAAAATTTATTTAAATTTAGCATACTAACAATATATATTGTATATATTGGGCTAGGAAATGGGAGGTATCATGACACCGTAGATATGCAAAACTCCTTAAAGAAGGGTAATTCGATCTTAGCCTTGCCGAGAGTATAGTGGAAAGAAATCGGTGAATTAAGATTAATAAGCATCTTGTCCATAAAATGTTGCCTTAGTTTGCACTAAAGATTAGAATTCATGTCCTAATCACCGAATTGCATGGGAATAACTCTCTACTACCGATTGATAAATCAGACGCGGTGGTTGTTGTGCGGGGACACAACTACTGTTGTGTGGCAATATGGATCTATTTAGGAGTCTCTTTTGATAATTCGAACTGTTCATATTTCAGAGTACATAGTAGAATATATTTGAAAAAAATCAAGTTAATCAGATATCGTTAATCTTTTCATCCACTCACATTTGTATTTATTTTTATATATTAAATCACAATTATCATTTATTTTTATAAATACAAATGCAATTCAATAAAATGGTTAATGGTGTCCGATTAACTTAATTTTTTTGCTAGTATGTTTTACTCGATTTATTTTAAAATGTGAACAGTTTAGGTCATCGAAACAAGTCCCAAAATTGGCTCATATGGATTGCGCAACAGTGACTGCTATACCCCTATATAGCAGCTACTCCATTTCCTCAATTAACACGAGTGCTCGTACAACAGTGCTTCAATTTAATTGATTATCTTCTCATCTCCTCTGTTATCCTTAAAAAGTTATACTTTCTTCCTATATATCCCAGTCAAAACAACCAAAAATAAAAAATAAATATTATGAATATTATAATTTTAACATAATTATAACATATTTCGCTAACTATTAAATCGCATAACATTTAATCCTTATAATTAAGATTCTTAGCTTGGTAGATGAAAATTGGTGATCCCATAATTTTAATATTAGAATCCATGTTTTATCCCTCTACCTACTCTTAAATTTCAATGGCTCAATGACTTGCACTAGTTTTTAATGATAATCTTATATGTATTAATTGGTATATTAATTATTATATTAATAGATGTTATATAATAATTTGTGTTTTTATAATTTATATAATCAATACCCCCGTTTTTTAATAGAGGAAATGAAAACATCAATTTAATTAGATTTCTTGACTCTTGACCCAAATACAATAATGTTCCGTACTTGTTGGGTCATACACGCAATTTAAGATATAAATGCAGACTGAGCTCCGTACAAAAACAGCCGCTTTTTTTTTTTTTTTAATAAAAAAAAAATTAACTTATACTTAAAGTTATGAGTTATAACATTAGATTGATAATATCATTAGTCTTGCAATAAATAAATAGAATAAAGTTTGGAATCTCCTTTCTCTCCACTTCCTTTGACTCTCTTTCTTTTTTGATTGGTCATTTTGTTTTTCTTTTTCTTGTTTTTTCTTCTCCTCCAATCACCGCCCCTACGTGTAAGTGGGAGGTGGTGGGGGTTGAAGTTTGAAAGGGTCTAAATCACTGTTGAAATAAATAATAGTGTTTATTTGCAAAAATTACAAAGAAAGAGTCAATTTTTTTATAATAATTTTTTAACTATTTTAGGAGTTGTTTGTGGTGTCTTAAATAAGTGTACTTTTAAATAAGTGTACTTTTTGTCTTTTTAGACTAAAAAATTGAGGAAAAAAATATGATTGTTTAGGTTAACTTTTTGAATTTTTATGAAAAAAATGTGTATTAAAAAATTGTATAAATTAGTGTGTATGGAAAAATTAAGATTGGGAGTTGTGCAGCGGTAATTTTTTACTTTTGGTGAATAGTGATAACTTTTTAACATTTTGATTAACTTTTTGACTTTTTTTTCACTTCCCAAACTTGGCCTTAATCTATTACCAAAATTGCCCTAAGTAAGAAGACTTAAACCCTATTTATTTGTCAAATTAAGTTGGATAAGATTATTTATATGATAAAATTGAATAAAAGAATTATTAGTGTTTTGGTATTAATTAATTAAAATTAAAATTTTAAATTTAAGTAAAATTTTCGTAAATGTAACTCTATTGTTTTTATAAAAATAAGGACAGTAATGTCATTTTACTTTCAATGTTATGAGATTGAATTAACAAACTCATGTCTCTCATGAAATCGCCGATTCTCTATAAGATTTTTACACTATATTTGGTTTATAAATTTGGATAGAGATTTGTAAAGAGAAAGAAAAAAAGATACACACATCTTTCACATATATTTTTTTTTTTCATTCCTTGTTACTAATTTTTTATTCAAATCCATAAACCAAATACAAACTTAATCTCATGACAATTTTACAAAACAAACATGACTTTGGTGAGCCTTACCTCACTATTAATCAAATTCCACTCTTAATATCTAAAAACAAACAGGATCTTAGTTCCATGAGACTATGAATACTCCATCTAATTCAATTTTATGGGATTGTAGAGAAGAAAAAAAAAAATAAAAAAAAACTATTTCATCATACACTTCACAAAAACAAAATAACATTTTATATAAAATGATTTCATAAATTTAATTTCAACCAATTAATACTAACATATTAATATATAAATAAATATAATTTATCTAATATTTTAATTTAATACGATCATACTACTAATTTTTTTATTTTAATTTTATTATACTCATAATTTCATTCAACTAATCTCACATTTGACAAACAAACAAACATCGCATTACGTGAGAGTATCTTATGGTCTCACTTCACATCCCACACGCAATAGGGTCGGCGGTCACCGGCTTATATAGCCTTCACACACTTCTAAATTTCTCTCTCATTATCTTCTCATTTAAATAAATAAATGAATAATATCTATCCTTTTGTATGGACAGGAAACTTCCATGTCTATTGGACTCTATCTACATGTTAGAACTTGGGTCTGGCTTCTTGTAAAATGACTAGTCTACCCGTGCATTTTGATCTGTTTGATTCGATTTTCAAAATAATAAAATTTAAATTAATTTGATGAAAACTAAAACTTATTCATCATCTTTATATATTTATCTTCTGGAGTTAGTATAATTTTTAAAATTTAAAAAATATTTTTTAAGAGTTTATTTTTATCAAATTAGTTTCAATTTTTTTTTTAAAAATTTAAAAATCAAACCAAGCTAGGGACACAGAGGCAAGGGATTAATGAACAAAGAGAAAGAGATTTGATTGAAGAGAAACGTGAATATTTGAAACAGAGAGAGGCTTGTGTGCCCTTGACATGTGGTTGAACAAAACATTTCTCTTTAATTAATTAAAGCAATTCACTACTTACTATTTTAAAAATTATACTACGTGAATTTTATCTACTCACTTGTCACAAACTCAAAGTAAAACACAAGGCCATATATTTAGCCCTAACACAGTGAAAAGTTACAATCATGCTTTCTATTATTTTCATTCAACTTCTGTTCTGGTGGGACTAAATTATGATTTATAATCATATGATCTTAAATCTCATAATGCTATCATAGTAGATAACAATAATATATATATATATATAAAATATATCATAGTAGATAACAATAATATATATATATATATAAAATATAATAGTAGTTGGGTGAGGAGGATCCTTTTATATATATACATATAAAATAGTAGTAGGAGGATCTTCTTGGCAAATTACATTAGTGTTCAAGATTCTCATTAATTCTTTGTTTGAGGAGGATCCTCTTATCAGACTATTTCATAGTTTGAACCCATAATATTCAATTCATAATTAGGATTAGAAACGAACTAAACTGGTCACGAACTGAACTCGACTCGGCTTAATTCATTAAGTAAATAAACAAATTTAAGCTACACTTCTAGATTCATTTCAACTTATTTATCTTTATTTAAATAATAGAATAAATATATTATTTATATATTAAATAATATATATAATAACAAAAATAATCATTATCAAGGGTGAGTCAAGTTTAAACTTAATATTAATATAATAACAAAAAAAATCATTATCAAGAGGTGAGTCAAGTTCAAACTTAATATTAATATAATAACAAAAAAAAATCATTACCAAGGGATGAACCAGGTTCAAACTTAATTAATATTAAGAGATAAACTAAGCTTGAGCCTCGCAAAACTCCACTAAGCTTCTACTCGACTCATTTACCAAAAATAAAAGCTATGCATATTGACAAAAAAATGTCAATAATGTAATTTGCCAAATCCTCAAGGGCAAAAGCATAAGCCAACTCAACCCTCAAAGTTTGACTGAAAAACACTCTTTAACCTCTCCTGGGATGTAACATGAAACCCTCTCATCTCCTCTTCCACCTCCTCCACCTCTTCACAGCCTCCCTTCTCCATGTCAACCACCTCATCTCCTCCAATGAAGAACCACCCACAACCACCACATCTCCTCCTCCTCTTTCTCCTCCCCATCATCCTCTCTCTCCACTCTACCTCTTCACTTGAATTCCTCTTCAATGGCTTTGACCCCTCCAATATATCTCTCTATGGCATTGCCACCCTTGAGTCCAAAATCCTAACTCTCACCAACCAAACAAATTTCACGATCGGCCGCGCTCTCTACCCATCGAAAATCCCCACAAAGGATCCGAATTCGTCGTTAGTCCGCCGGTTTTCGACCTCTTTCGTCTTCTCCATGGCTCCATTCAAAGGTGGCAGCCTTCCTGGCCATGGCATAGTCTTCTTGTTTGTACCATACACAGGCATTCAATCAGCCACTTCAGCCCAAAACTTAGGCTTCCTCAACCACACCAATAATGGAAACCCCAATAACCATGTCTTTGGGATTGAATTTGATTGTTTTCAAAATCAAGAATTCAATGACATAAGTGCCAACCATGTTGGGATTGATTTGAATTCACTCACATCAACAAGTTCTCATGATGCAGGCTATTATAGTGGTGATGGTGACAAGTCCTTTAATGGGTTGAAGCTAAACAATGGAAAAAACTACCAAGTATGGATCGACTATGCTGATTTTCAAATCAATGTGACTATGGCTGTGGCAGGGATGAAAAGGCCTAGTAGGCCATTACTCAATGTTTCAATGAATCTCTCTCAAGTGTTTGAGGATGAAATGTATGTCGGATTCACCGCAGCGACCGGGCAATTAGTCCAGGCTCATAGGATCTTGGCTTGGAGCTTTAGTAATTCGAACTTTTCGTTGAGCGAAGCGTTGATCACAACTGGTTTGCCATCGTTTGAGCTGCCCAACAGCTCGGTTTTTCAATCAAAAGGGTTCATTGCAGGCATGACAGTGGGGGGTTTCTTTGTTGTTGTTGGTTGTTCTGTTTTTGCTCTGTTTTTAGTGAAGAGAAAGAGGAGGAGAGAAAGGGAGAGAGATGAAATGGAAGACTGGGAATTAGAGTACTGGCCACATAGAATGAATTATCAAGAAATTGATGCAGCAACAAGGGGGTTTTGTGATGAAAATGTGATTGGAATTGGTGGGAATGGGAAGGTTTACAAGGGGGTGTTGCCCGGAGGAGGGGTAGAGGTTGCGGTGAAGCGAATTTCGCATGAAAACAGTGAGGGAATGAGGGAATTCTTGGCTGAAATCTCAAGTCTCGGAAGGCTAAAACATAGGAATTTGGTGGGTTTGAGAGGTTTTTGTAAGAAAGAGAGAGGTAGCTTGATTTTGGTGTATGACTACATGGAGAATGGGAGTTTGGACAAAAGGGTGTTTGATAATTGTGATGAGAACAAAATGTTGAGTTGTGAGGAAAGAATAAGAATATTGAAAGATGTGGCTGCAGGGGTGTTGTACTTGCATGAGGGATGGGAAGCCAAAGTCCTCCATAGGGATATAAAGGCTAGCAATGTGCTACTTGATATAGAAATGAATGCAAGGTTGGGGGACTTTGGTTTAGCCCGAATGCACGAGCACGGACATGTGGCAAGCACGACAAGGGTGGTGGGAACAGTCGGGTACTTGGCGCCAGAGGTGATCAAGAGTGGCCGGGCATCGGCCCAAACAGATGTGTTTGGTTTTGGAGTCTTGATTTTAGAGGTCATCTGTGGGAGGCGACCGATAGAGGAGGGGAAGCCACCTTTGGTAGAGTGGGTATGGGAATTGATGGCACGGGACGAATTAGTCCATGCCCTTGATGAAAGATTGAGGGGTGGAGGGTTCAATGTGGAAGAAGTGGAAAGGGTTTTGCAGCTAGGGTTGTTGTGCACGTACCCAGACGCGCAAACGAGGCCGACAATGAGGCAAGTAGTGAAGGTTTTGGAAGGAAAGGGCGAGGTTGATGAGAGTGAAATTGAGGACATGGAAGTGTATTTGCTTGAGAAGATGAAGTCTAAGGAGATGTGGTCCAAATATCCACATTGTATGGGCAATGGGTCACACCCAACATTTGAACAAATTAGACAGTCAATCTCATCTTCCATCTTGTCCCTCTCTTGGTCTGATGCTATTGTGGAAGGTAGGTGATTCTTCATCAATGAAGTGATATTGCATTGGTTTTTGTCGGTTTTACCAATTTTGGTGCACTCAAATTTGCCCAAACTGCATGCTCAAAAAAAGTTCAAAGAACAATTTTCATGTAAATTTGTTATCTTTGATTATAGGTTCATTCTTGTTTAGTGGATTGGATGTTGTAGATGAGATTTTTTTTAGTTTGCTAGAGGATATACATATGAGACAGATTGCTATATATACACATATATACTACCTACCATGTTACAATTGAGAAAATGGGTCTTGGATTTTAATGTGCATTTGTGTAATTTAGTTGAATATCTGATTATATGGTTTTAGTTTTTCATTCTTAAAAAACAGATAAGAAAGAGTGAAAGACAAATTACTCTTGCTGTTGCAACATTTTTATCATGGGAAGTGTCTTGTCCTTGTCCAAATGATAGCCTTGTCATCACATTGCAAATTCATTTCTACTAATAGTAGTAATAAATAGTAATGGATAAAGTTTGGGAAACTTACAAACATAACTGTATCGAACAAGACACAATTGACACCTCTTTGTGTCTTGATGCTCATTAATTCTTCCTATATACCAATGGTATAAGTTTGTAATCAACTCAAAGTATTACTATGTCCATCAATCTTATTGTGTCTTATTTAATAGTAAGTGCGACTAATTTAGGCCTTGTTTGGGGTATTTTAAAAAAGACAAAAAGTCAAAAAGTCACTATCATATTTAAGTCACATTATCTTATTTAAGTCACATTACCTCTCTATCACATCACTTCAAATCCAACTTATATTTTACAAAAAGTCAAAAAGTGCACTTATTTAGATCATCCCAAACCACTCCTTAATCTCCGTTAGAGTAATTATTGGATACAATTTAAAATTTAACATAATTTGTATCAAGTGATTGTCTTCAAATTCAAACCCATAAATTTTAGATTAATAAATTGTAGCCATTGAACGAGTCATTCTTGTGTTTTATTCTGTAAAAATGAATGTAAAATTATAAATATCCCAAACATTGTTGAAAAGTAGTTCTCTAGAAAGTTAGAAGTTAGGTGAGGGGTTGGGCAAGACAATAATTATCTGGTAAAGGAAGACAACTCGTGTCTTGGTTTGAAAATGACCTTCAGGAGCTTATTCTCAATTTGGCTCACGGATATCCTCTCTAAGGCCTCATTTGTGTAAAAGATTTTTTGGTAGCTTTTTTGCTTTGTTGCTTTTTTGCTTTTTAATAAATGTATTTGGTAATTGTTTTTTAATGGTTTTTTTGGATTTTCAAAATTATTATAATGTGGATTCATATCATTTGTCAAAATTGTAAAATTCTTATATTGGTGGATTTTTCTTGGGGATCTATAATGGGGATGGGTTTCTATTCAGTTCAAATCTGTATTTGAAATAATTTGAGAGCCTTGTGAAACCCATCACAGGTTCCATTTCGATGATCCAAATTATTCATTTTGTAATACTCTTAATATATATTATTTATGAAAAAAATTAAATCGATCTGATAATCGTAATCTTTTCATTTTATCACATTTATCAATAAAAAAATAAAGGGAAAATTAAAAACACACCCTCTGAGGTTTACTTAAATTACAAATTATCCCCTGTAGTTCTAGAAATTACATTATGCCCCCTAAAGTTTCTAATTTCATAACAAATAGGTTATTTTATTAATAAATAATCAGTTAATTACTTACCCAAAAAAAATAATCAGTTAATTAATAGTGTTCAATAATGTTAAAATTTTATTTCAATTAATAATTCAGATAACTTTATTAATGTATAGGTGAACAATTAGAAATTTCACTTTTTCGATTAATTCTGTTAAATGAAAAATTCTAATAGAGAAGTATTTGTAATTTTCCAAACTATATGAAACAATTGGTATTTTAAGTAAACTTTAAAGGGTATATTTATAATTTATCTAAAAATAAACGACAAATATGTTTTGACAATAAAATAAAATAGCATTTCATGGGGGCATGGTTCTTGACATTTGTTAAAATCGTTTAAGTGTTTGGAACCAGAACAAGAGACTTTCTTGCCTATAATAAGAGTTCCCACTACACCCCACATTCACTCTCAATTTGCCTCGAGTACAAGTACCTTGAGCGATTGCATACCACTGCAATGAGTGGTTTTATAACAGCAACAATGTTGTGGAGCATGAATTTTTTTTTTTTTTTTTTTTCAAACAAAAATCGTTTTAAAGCTGTTGTCAATTCATCAATTGGTCAATTTTAAATGTTTTTCGATCAATCAATTATTTGTCTTGTCACAATTTCAAGACTATTTTTAAGAAACATTTTTCATGATTCATAACGTTTATGCTGAATCCCACCTTTATCTGGTTTGGAATTGTTTTGCATGTCATCACTTTTAGACCAAAAAAATAAAGTCATTTTTTGACTGTTTGATGGAGTTGTGTTTACATTCTCCCCCACCCAAAAATAAAATAAAAATAAAAACATTTCTACAAAAGCAATAATAAATAGGTATTGTCGATAAAAAAACAGTTATTTTTCAATTTTGACAAAATATTATCTCACAAAAATCAAACAGCAATCATTTTAAAATTTTTGATTAATTTTATATCTAATCAATTAGTGTAGTGTCCAGCAAAAAGAACCAGAAATGTTACATTCTTGTATGAGTTTCATGATATATAATACAATCGAGACAAAGGGTGTAACAGCGGGGATAGCTCAGTTGGGAGAGCGTCAGACTGAAGATCTGAAGGTCGCGTGTTCGATCCACGCTCACCGCAAAATTTTCATTAATTTTTCATAAAATGAAATTGGGTCTTATCCACATGACGGACTTTTGAGCTACCCAATCAAATTTTATGACTTTTCGCAAAATTTTCATTTATTTTTCATCAAATAAAATTGGGCCTCGTCCAATTAATGGACTTTGAGCTATCCCAATCAAATTTTATAACCTTTCATAAAATGAAAATGAGCCTTATCCAACAATCTACCTGTTAAGCCTTATTGGCCTTGCATACTTTGAAAAAAAAAAAAAAAAAAACACTTACTAATAAGTCTCATACACAAAATTTAAAATCCATCTAGTTCTAAAATAAAATACTTGTACCAATTAGTTTTACATATTTTTAATTGTTACAAAAAAATCCTTCTTTTTTTGTTTTTTTATAACTTTAAAAACGCTACTACATCCCACCAGCGTCGGACTTCTGTCAAACGGTCAATGGAGACTTATCGGAATATTCAATATCACCGGGAAATTCGCCAGAGTATCGCCGGAAGTTAGTCAGAGTATCACTGAAGTGTTCTGAAGGTCATTGGAAATCGTCGCAATGTACAGAATGTTCGTTGAACGTCAAGAATATCATTGGAAGCTCAACGAAATGTGTAGAATGCTGGGGAAAAAAATAGAGAAATTATAGTGAAAAAATATAACAAAAAGTGCTAAATATTGATAAATTGATGAAAATAAATAACAACAACAAACTACAACAGGAAAAAGAATATATTATTTTTTAATTTTCGTAAGGTTTAAGTAAATAATATCTAATATTAATCAAACTGAAAAATAAGCTTTGAAACTGTAAAATGTTACAGTTTCAAAGTATGATTCTATTAAGCATTTATCCTTGTTAATCAAATTGGAAAACATGTTATGAAACTATAAAATTTTATAATTTTAAAGCATGATTCATTTCAGTACCAAAAAACTGAAACTATACATTTTACAGTTTTCACTGCCTATAACTAAAACTTAAAAACAACTTGTTTAGACCTTGAAAATTTTTTCCATTAAAATAGGAAAATAGAAGTGTGTACTGTAGAAAAAGTAGAAAAATTGAGAAATTGAAGTAGAGAAACAGATATAGAGAGAATATTGTAATTCGACAACTATTTTTTGTTTAGATTTAGTTAGATCTCATGTAGATTTATTCAGATCTGATCGGAAACTCGTCTCTTTCATCGTCGGTGAGGGTGAAGTAAGGAGTCGATGATCGGTGGTTGCCAGTGAACCCCAAGCAATGATAGTTGTCGGTTACTGGTGACTATATATTAGAAAGAGAAAGTGAAGAAGCAAGACATGGCCGCCGATCACCAAAAACCAGGAAGAGAAGGAGGTAGAGAAAAACAAACACGGAGAAGAATGAAGAAGAAAAATACGTAGTAGACTTTTAAGAGTATTCAAAAGATTGTGGGACTAAATAGACTTATCCTCTTTTAAATAGGACTTCCAAGAAATTCTATTTCCATATACTTAATTACCTCAGCACACATACTTAATGAAATATTATTTTAATGGCAATTATACCTTAAACTAAAATGACCATAATGGACATCCACTAGCACCCACAATATTATATGAAAATATGCTCTGTACACATCTTTAAAAAATAATAATAAAAATAAAAAAATAATTCTCAATATACACCTTTTGAGTAAAAAAAAAAAAAAAACCTTACAGAAATTGTGATTGCCAACCAATTACCAGACGATTGTGTTTTAGTTCTTTCAGCCTCAATGAAGAGGACTTTTACTGGTGGCTTGACTTAGGAGAAATTAAGAGAAATAACAATTAATATGAAGAACAATGGAAGTATTTCATAAAAATGAAAAACTTACAATAGTCCAAACTCAGCCTCGAAGAGGTTTACAGCAACAGTCCACTTGAATCTACTTGAGACTACTCCTATGAATTGAAGTGCAGTGCAGATATGTAAAGTGCAGGTATTGAAAGTACAGGAATGTAAAACTGGAAAGTAAAATATGAAATAAAGACTGGTATGTATGATCTGAGTTCTGTCTTTTTTCCTGGAGGTCTCTCTGCTATTTATACTTGTCAAAGATGACCTTCGAACTGCTCTTCGAATCGTCGAACTGCTCCTCCATGATCGCTGATCATGTTGCCTTAGAAGTAGCTCCATTATGCCACAATTTGCAGTTAGGCTTCCCTCCTGTATTTGAATTTGAATATGAGTAACCGTTGAAGCCACGTCACCTTGCGTTTCTTTACTGATCCAATGTTGCTCAGACCATGTGAGAACCAATTATCATCACCACGTGTACGATCAGGATTGGAGACTTAAATTATTTTCCAATAATACCCTTATTCTGCCACGTGTCGGATTGTAACTGGCTTTTACAAAATATATAGCTAACAAATATTATCTCACAAAAATCAAACAGCAATCATTTTAAAGTTTTTGATTAATTTTATATCTAATCAATTAGTGTAGTGTCCAGCAAAAAGAACCAGAAATGTTACATTCTTGTATGAGTTTCATGATATA